CTCTCTCTGTGCACAGCAGGAGAGGAAGCTGAACATGTTCCATATGCTTTGTCTCCGATGCATTCTTTGTATCACCTGGCAGGACAAAGTTCCAAATAGAGTAGCCTTAAAATGAGCTGGGATTTTTAGCATTTATACATTACTGAAACAGCGACGTCTAGGTTGGCTTGGGCATGTCGTGAGAATGGCTGATGGTTGGATTCCAAAAGATCTCCTGTATGGAGAATTAGTGCAGGGAAATTGCCCCAGAGAGAGACCACAGCTGCAATACAAGGATATCTGCAAGCGGGATCTGAAGGACATAGGAATGGACCTCAAGAGATGGGAAACCCTGACATCTGAGCGTTCAGCCTGGAGGCAGGCAGTACAGCATGGCCTCTCCCAATTTGGAGAGACCCTTGTCCAGCAGGCCGAGGCAAAGAGGCAGTCCCGAAACCAGCAGAATCAGGGAGCTGGACAGGGTATAGATTGTATTTGTCTTCAGTGTGGAAGGGATTGTCACTCTCAAATTGGCACTCTCAGCCACACTAGACACTGTTCCAAGACCTCTATTCAGAGCACATTACCATAGTCTGTTGAGACTGAAGGATGCCTACAGTTTTAACTGTGCAAACAGACTTGATGACATTGCTGAGATGGATCATTTAGACGCACTCATGAATCCAGGGACATACTGTGTTTTCAGGAGGATAACCCCATCCACAAAAGGCTGAATTTGTCTTCCCTGATCTGCCTGTCAACTGACCAGGAGGACCTCTGTCTTGTTCGAATTAAGCTTCAGTTTATTCACCCTAACCCAGTCTGTTACTGACACCAGACACAGATTTAGAAACAAAACAGCAAAAGCTAAGTCCAGAGGATGCCCTGTGGCATGGGTGGGACCAGATATCATTTGGCTCAGACCCATGGTTATCACTGGCTCTATGGCTTGGAAACGGGGATGAGCACCGCGTCCTAGAGTTGGACACGACTGGATAAATTGTCAAGGGGAAACTTTACCTTTACCTTTACCATGATTATCATGGAGGACGTGAGGTCCTGATCCACTCTTAAGAAGGCTGGCTCAGCATGGACTTTGAAGACCCCACACACAACAAGTCACATCTACACCCCAAGAATGACTAGATTAGTTCAGAAAGGGAGACTGTTGAGCAGTGGAGTGTGGTACACCAACAGAATATCCTGGGCTTCCACTTTCAGATATGTACACTCAAACCTAGAAAACTCAGGGATGTGGCACCTGGTGAGGGGGATGGAAACACAATAGACCACTGCAACTCTGCCCCTCCCCAAGGTCTTGCCTGCTGATGCACAGAGAACCCAGGTGGACAAAGCTGAGATTAATCCTCCCAGCTTCATCCAACCAGGTCTTCATAATATAAGCCAGGTCAGCATGCATCCAGCATCAAGTCCTGAATAGCTATTGTTTTTCCATTTACAGTACTGATCTGACATTGAGGAGATGTATTTTCAGCCGAGCAGGCCTGATGCCATGGCTAACCAAACAATTTGAATTAGGGGACAGCCGATACCCTGTTGCCCTCCCCTCTTGCACACTGTAGTTGCTGCCCACATCCACATCTCCTCCTTCTCTGTATAACTCTGATTAACTGCTCCCTGATTTCCCTTGCTACTCTTCCTCTTGTAAACACACATTCCCCTGGCAGCAAACAAAAACCGTGAGTTGAAATTGCTTCTCAGGTGCATAAAAGCAAGCAGAGGCAACAGAGCCAGGATAAAATAAGCCACAGGGGTGTATGTGGAGTTTTAGGCAAAGTCTTCCTTGTATATATCTAATATGGGAGGTAATACAAGGAACAAGTAGCAATAAGAGACCATCTTGGTAGGAAATTCGACTGGATGTTTAGCAACTACAGTCTCTTGTGTGACTCCTCATGCAACTCCAAGTTTGATGCTTAGTGCGCAATTAGCACTACATTTTCTGTGACATCAACTGAACTGCAAAAGTCAAAGCAACCATTTATGGATTTAATGTATTCTTAAAGTATTTCCTTCCTGAATCCTAATTCTGCACTTACATGTTAAATCTTTATAATGCCTTCAATTTTGTGTGGAGATTATCTCAAATAATGCTTCAGTGAGACTAAAATCTATTCTAATCAATTTATGTGCTTTGTGAGAACTCATAGGAATAATCTCTTTCCATTCCTAAAATCAAAGGATTGAAGGAGATACTACAAAGAAAATAAAAAGGGATGAAGGTGAATGTCCCAGCTTATTAGAGAATTTTTTAAATAGTTAATATGTACTTATGCAAAGCTGAAGATGTTTTTCAGTAAGATCTATTGCACATTTGTGTATTCATTGTTTGTTAACCAACTCAGTAGATTGGGTTTTCTAATCCAATGTTCTATGACATCAATGTTTTGCATCTCTTTTGAATTTTGCACATGAAGTCTGGGCCACTTACAAATACAGGGCAGGGAAAAAAATTTCATGCTTTACAATACCAAAATGGATGGGTATCACTTTTTAAAAACACAGGAATTTTTATAAAGGTCTGGGACCTTAGTACTTGTTGGAAGGTCTCTCCCTAAGAACATCCACCTGATCCTTTCAGGCTATGCTTCTTCAGGTTGGGACTCCAAGGGAAGCCAGGAAGTCATCAACATGAAGCATGGCCCCTTTGGAATGAGCTCCTGGTGGTGGTGCCCCTGGCCTCTCCCTGACTGTCTTCAAGAGGATACTCTTAAGCCTAAAGCCTCTCCCCTATCCCCACTGGCATGTTGGCTGGGGCTAATGGGTTTTGCAACCAAAAATATGTAGAAAGCCCCATATTGGATCAAGCTGTCCTCCTTTGGACAGCCTTCAGACCTTGTAGGATCTACCAAAGATATTTAAGGGCATGATAATAGCTTCGGCAAGTAGTTGTACTAAGAATTAAAGGCTAAGTTGTATCTTAGCATATCGTAAACCACAGAATTTGTAATCAGTACCAGGATCTAACAGAAAAGTCTTCTCATATTTCCAAGCAAAGTTTTCTAACTCGTTTTAATTTAGCTGGTTACCAAAACAGACTTGGCATTTCAGCTGTTTCAATCTCAACTGCTTGATTTTCTTAATGTTTAGGTATTTATGAACTTTCCCTTGTGTTGGATCAAGATGGAAGGTGCCTTCTGCATTTGGAATTCGAGCCAATTTTGACTAAACAGTACCTTCTTAAAACTAGGGCACAGAAGGTTATTCACCCCAATGCAGTGGCCTTCACAGTCATTTGGTCACTCTGAAGGCTGTGATGTCTGCCCTGAAATCTCTTGCCCTTGGTGTTGCTTGCATCACAGCTGTCCTAGCAACAGTGGGAGTGCTTCTACAAACAGAGCAGATACAGTTTTTGAAATCCTCTATGTCATCATTTCTGAGATGTTTGGTTGGTTGCCAGGTTCTTCCAGCAGAAGCCATAATCTCACTTCTAGACTGCCCCATGTGACCTGCATATGATCTTGCAATGATCTTGCCCGATTTTCTAATTTGGAAGGTAAGCAGGGCTGTAGTCTGGTTAGTAGTTGGTTGGGAGAATCCCAGTAAATATCAGAGATCAGCAGGTAAGGCTAGAAGAGTTCTCCGAGAGCCAGTCAAGAGTTGAGAATACTGGGCTAGATAGACCAGTCTTCCTAGGTATTTCCTGGGTAACCCATGACAACACGTAGCACTCAGGGACACAAAGGGGCAATCAGGCTGCAAAGATGACACAGGGAACAGAAGCAGGACAATTCCCTTCCCTCTAGTGAGACACCAGCTGACTCTGGCTCCCTCGGCTGTCACCTGGTCAGCTTCCCGAACTGCTTCTAGTTTAAGGCGTCTGCATGATGAATTCTGCAACTTCAAGAACTTGCACAGGTTTTATTCCCATCCTTGTCTCTTGTGAGCATAAATGTCAAGCCACTCTGGGACTTCTTTAGGCTAAAAAAACCCTACTAATAATGGAAATGCTTGAAATAGATCTATAATATTCCATTTTGAAATGCTGAAATGCTGAAAGATCATTGATGATCACCTAATTTAACCTGCTGTCACAGAAAAAAAATCTAAAATCTAAATAATCCTCAATATATATTCTCCGATTCATTTGTGCAAAATGTGTAGGCTAGGCTGTCACGAAGCAAGATCCTAGACAAGCATACTTAATGCATGGTGCTATTTTCTTGAAAATAGGAATGTTTTTAAATGTATTTAACATCAGGGAAGGTTACTTTCGGTTCCAAAGAAAAAACTAAAATCATACTAGGAAGATCTGTGTGCTATAATTAACTTTATTTAATCAATTCCTTACAAATTATGCTTGTTCCACTGTACACAAATGCATTTTTCAACGGGGTCTCTGCGTTGATTCATAGCTGCAACCCCACGTACTTGTGTCCTCAAGTGCCATTAAAACCCGCAAGCCGTACCGTCAACCAAGTAGGGTCAGGATTCAACCCAGAGGTTTATCAAGGGACACGCCCGCCACGGAATCCACTTTCCCTCTAGAAAAGGGAGAGGAATAACGGGGATCGCCAAGCGCACGTCCAGGAGATCCGGAGAGATGAAACGCCGGTTCAGCCGAAAGAGAGACGGAGCTGCTTAACGTCAGGAAGGAAACAGAGGATCTTTTCCCCACTTTCAATGCCTTGGGTTTACTGCAGATTATTTTTTATTTTAAACACTACTAGGGGCACTAAACCGGGTTAAATAAACGTAAAACTGTACAAATCAACAGGATTTTGAAAACGGGGTCCGAAAGGTAAACGCGATCAGGATTTTCCCCTCCAGTTTTTTCTCCTGAACAGGAGGAAACGGGTGACAGTTTAACTGGCCCCTCCCCGTCGCGCTCCAGTGACAACCCGACAACCCTCTACGTCTCCCGAAGGAACCAAGCCCGGAGCTCAGAAGTTCCCAAAATCCCGGGCAGAGTCCGATCGGAGCCTCCGCCGCGTCA